CCACGGGCGGCTGGCACAGCTGGCTACGACTGGGCTACCGGACGAAGTCCCCGGAATACAGGTGCTGCTGGCGACACGACGGCAACCTCCATTCAGCTTCCCCAAACTATCCCACTCCCCCCTGGCACATACCCGCTGCTACACCGCTAGCTCCACTCCCCCTTCACCCCCCCTTAGTACCACTCCACCGGCTCCAACACGTCCACCCCCCCTCAGCGGCAGCTGCAGCACAGGGAGACGGAGGAGGAGGAGGAGCAGGGAACAGTACACAGTGGGTGCACCCCCATACCCCGCACCCCCAAACCCTAATACAGGAGAATGGGGAGTAGGAGGGGTGGGGCACGAGTAGAAGCGCTGGGGGACAGTAGGGAGGGCAGGGGCAGCAAGGAGCGGGCCCACCACGGGCCTGGTAGGGTCGCCCGAACCGCGCGTAGGCGGCCTGAGCCGCGCGCGGGCCTGGCGCCGCCCGTACGGGCCGCGCGCGGGCCTGGCGCAGCCCGTACGGGTGGCGCGCGGGCCTGGCGCAGCCCGTACGGGTCGCGCGCGGGCCTGGCGCAGCCCGTACGGGTCGCGCGCTGGCCTGGCGCAGCCCGTACGGGTCGCGCGCTGCCTGTACGGGCCGCGCGCAGGCCACGACGGGCGACGGGGGGCGACGAACGGGTCCCCGTCGCCCGTCACGGCGCCTCCCGAGGGCGACGCGACGGTTGACGGGGCCGAAGCCCGCCGCGCGCCTCGGGGCGCACAGCGGGCAGAGAACCGCCGCGCGCCTCGGGGCGCACGGCGGGCAGAAAACCGCCGCGCGCCTCGGGGCGCACGGCGGGAAGAAAACCGCCGCGCGCCTCGGGGCGCACGGCGGGAAGAAAACTGCCACACGCCACGGGGCGTGCGGCACCGAGTGTAGTGGTAGGAGTTGCAGCGGAAGCTAGGAGGTGGTAAGCCCACCCACAGGATCGATCCAAGGGGATCGACCTGCTCTGATAGCATGTTAAAGTTTAGAAGAAAGAAGAAGGAAGAAGAGAGATGCACTAGCAAGAATGGGGATACAAATAGGAAACCCTAGAAGGGTTGTACTCGCTATAGAGCACCCCACTACAGGCTAGAGCATAAGATAACATTCTGACAAATTGAGGGTTTCCAATTCAATGGACGTTTTCGTGTTCGACTATCCATCAAACAAATCACTCTACCAGTACCTTAGGGCAAGGAAAGGAACAGGGCCCAAATTCTCAGGGTTAAATGCCATGATTACCCGGGGGGCAGTCGCTTTTTCAGAGTTACCCTTTCAAAATCAGGATTTCGAGATTTTTACCCTTACGCAAAACAAAGTTTGTTTTCTTTTTTACACTGATAGGGGTTATGGTTAGCCTGACGGTATTAGGGTTGTGTGTACACTACCATGATACCGAAACTTTTTTTAGCGCGAATCAGCACATACTCCTCGTGCCAATGCACCCCTGTATCGAGCCACACCACGCCACGCCCACTGCCAGCTGAGCAGAGTTGCGCGTCAAGGACAGCTTCGTGCTGTCCTACGCATCAAATTGCAGTCCTCGTGCTACTGTACCAGCCATGCACTTCCCGCGGTGTGGGGGAATCGGACCTGTAGAAATTTCTTAAATGACAAACTAGCAGTGAAAACAGGCTAAGTGTAGAAATACCCAGCTCAAATCAGTGTTGTGGTAGATTTACCCTGCTGCCAACAGGGTACGAAATATTTTACCCTACAGGTCAAGGTAAGGAGGGGTTGGAACCCTGATTTGTCAGGGTGGGCCTAAACCAATTTTGGGCCCTCGCATGGAACCATGGCTGACGGTTAAAATACACACACACACACACACACACACGCACGCACGCACGCACGCACGCACACACACACACACATACACACACACACATTGATTTGAAAGGATTCGAGAGAAAACTGTCAAAATATGTTCGTCGTATTTTAATATAATTGTTTGTGGTTTGTAGTGTAGTTATCTAGCCTTGTTTGTTGTGCACCACCTCTTACACCGTTTCTCGTAAAACTTGGGCTTTGGCCCTTTATTCAAGCCTCTTTTGCCCTATTCACCTCTCCACCTCCTTGCCTAGCTAACTAAACCCTAGCTATGACTATTAAGTTCTAGTCCCTATTTTTACAAAAACTAGTCTAGAACTTAGAAAATTTGGGAGCTTCACGAGGGGGGAACGCCAAGAAAAAACGCATGGTTCAGGTCTGAACCTGAACGGCGAGAAAACTACGAGAGCAAAATAAAGGAGGGGAGGGGGGAGGGGGGAGGGGGGGGGGGGGGGGGGGGGGTGTGAATATGGCAAGCGGAAATAGCATAAATGACCCGGTGATGGGTGATAATCGTGAAGTCAGGGGGTTCTACTAGGAAACCAATGAAGACTCAAGGGAGGGTGTCAGAAATGGAATGATGGCTGTATTACTGTGAGTTGGGATACATATACCTAACCCTAACCACTATACCCCACATGACGTGCCTCACTAAAGGCTATACATTTGACACACCCCCATAGCCTAACTGAGGGGTGTCATGCAACAACCAAACCATACGGTCACACGACCATTCACAAAGGGACAAATCCCAGGGTGGATCACAACGTCACCACACAGTGCGAGCACAAACAAGAGGCCACAAGGCTAGTCCAAGAGATTACAGAGGTATATGTAAAGAGTACGAACAAAGCAAGCAGACAACACAAGTCTACATAAGACGAGAACATGTGTCAACGAGACCTAACTCCGCACAAAACCTGTGGTGGTCACAAGGCGGAAGGGCCTTGGTGAGGATGTCTGCAGTGTTGGCCTCGGAGTCCACGAAGTCCAAACGAGCCTGTCCACGCCACTTCAACACTCGGAGAAAAAAAGTTCATAACGCGGATGTGCTTCACTCTACTCTCTAGTCGAGGCTTTCGACACAGGAGAATTATCGCCTTGTTGTCTGTGAACAAGGTCGTGCAGAGCTCGGCTGCTCACCAAGGTCACTGAGCAAGAAGGTCAACCAACACAGCTCCTGTGCAGCCACGGCCGGCTCCAGCGTAAATCTCGCCCTGATAGTAGAGGTCGCGACAGAGGAGGAACGAGTAGACCTCCACGACACAGCTCCACAGCCTATACTGAAACAGTACCTCTACGTGGACCTGTGAGTCTCGACGTCGTCGGCGTAAAAAGTGTCACAGTGGTCAGTAAGCACGACGGTCTATCTCCCTCTTAGCACCAGCCCCACGCCTGTTGTCATCGCTAGGTACTTCGCCACCCTCACAGCAGCTGTCCAGTGAACAGGACGGTGTCTCACTAGCGCAACAAAGCGGGCAAGGATGCTGAGAGGGAAGGCGAGGTCCGGGCGAGTACAAGTCATAAGGTACATGAGGCAGCCCACAAGCTTTGGGTAAGGACCATTAGGCTCAAACGGCTCATCAGGGAAGGGTTTAGTGAGTCTGTGGTCAACAGAAAGAGGAGTAGGCTGTGCAGTGGAGAATTGAAACCGAACCGCTAAAGGATCTGTTGCACCATGTGTTACTGGGTCAGAGTGATGGTGCGAGCCGCTCTGTCCCTCATGATCTGCAGGCCAAGGTAGTGGCGCAACTCACCAAGATCAGTGCACGTGTGTCTCCTCTGCAGTTCGGACTTCAAGTCCGCCAGAGCAACCGTGTTAGCAGTGGCGAAGACCAAGTCGTCAACCTAGACTAGTACAAAGAAAGGTGTGGAACTGCGACGAACAAACAGCGACGGGTAGGCAGAAGACGGCTGGAAACCGACGTCAGACAGGGTAGAGACCGTAGACCGTAGACCTCTGAGCCTCCACTGGGTCCGAGGAGGGAAAGTGACAGAGGGACGACGCAGCCAGACCTCCTCGTGTAGGCTACCCTGAAGGAAGGCAGTGGAGAAGTCGAGAGAGTGTAACTCGTAGTCTCTCTGTATTGCCACGTGAAGTAACACCTGAAGAGTGGCCATCTTCGGGGTAGGCGCGAAAGTCTGAAAGAACTCAGCTCCCTTGCGCTGACTGAAACCTCTAGCCACATAACACGCATTGAAGACCGGAGGAGATCCCGGTGGTCACTTCACCTTTAAGATCCACATGCCATCAACTACGTTCGCCCCCGGAGGGGGAAACTCGTCGATGTAGGTGCCTGTGCATCTGTAGAAGGCCATCTCTACGTCCATGGCAGCTCTCCACTGAGAGGAACAAGGCCCTAACACTGCCTCAGCGTAAGTGCGAGGAGACGGTATATCAAGGGCGTCGAGGTTTCCCTCAAGAACGAGCAGCATGGCACAGAGATGAGGCGAGACGGCTGCCAGGATCTCTAGCTCAAAATGTCTGTCCTCTAAGGCGTCACAGCCAAGGGAAGACTCACCCCCGACGGCCAGAGGATGTGTAGGAGGAGGAGCCTCGATTCGACTGGCGTAGTCAAGGCGGCAAGTAGCGGCGAACTTGGTGACATCGGTAGTAAGGGCGGAGATAGAGGTCAGAGAGGCACGAGGGTCCGTAACAAGAGAGGCGAGAACACGAGAGAAAACAGGATGGTACGTGCGCTAGTAGTCAGTGACAGGAGTAGAGATGGAAGCATTAAGGGCCGACTCTGGGGGAGAAGGAAGCACAGACGGAGACGAACGAGGGGAGCTAGAACGAAACATGATAGTACGAAGGTCAGTGACAGGAACAGGGGACGAGGGACAAGCACGAGGAGAACGAGAAGCCCAAGTGTGAGAAAGAGAAGGGGACAACGGAGGCTGAGAACGGAGGAAAACAGCAGGGGTAGAGTCAGGAGGAGTAAACGTGGGACCGTAGACAGGAGGAGAGGAGGGAGGAGGGGAGGGGGGCCGCTAGCTGACCTGACGCAGACACAGACGCAGCGACCTGAGGGGACACAGTAGTAAGTGTGTACAGACTCGAGCCAGGCGCACGGGTAAACGTGGCCAGGTGCCGGCCCGTCCGAGAGCATGTACAGTGGGTCACGCGCTGACCTCCAGGAGTGAACTGGTCCACCCACTGGTCCTAGAGGTCAGCACCACTCACCAAGTTCGTAGAAAACGAGGGGAGGTGAAGACCTGACAGGGAGCCAGACGGGACCGTCGGACACGGCAGGACCGTGGAGGAGTGCGCAAGGACTGGATCCCCAGAGGGGTCTGCCAGGGAGACCGCAACCGGCCGACTGAGCGGCGTGAGGGTGGTGCTGTCGCGAAAGAAGGAGCGGGAAGCACCTAAGTCAAGTGTGAAGGTGTACAAGGCCTCAGCAGGCGCAGTACCAGAGAGAGCAGACTCACCAGCACCTGGAGCAGCAGCCTCACCAGCACCTAGAGCAGGAGACGCACGAGCACCTAGAGCAGCAGCCACACCAGCACCTAGAGCAGCAGGCTCTATACCTGGGTCAGGCGGTATGCACAGGTAACAGGCACCGTCAGCACTAGTAGGCAATGCATACATGGCAGTGTGATTAGCATCATAGTCAAGAGCAAAGATATCTACCCTCTGCCTAAGCAGCTCCAGCCAGGTGGGGAGCTCAGCCTCGTCGCCAAACTCGGTACGCCAGGCGTCGCTCAGACGGGCGAAGCAGCGGGACTGTGTGTGACCAAGCGTCCCGCAAGCCTGACCAGCCCGATCACCTGTGCGAATGACGTACGGGCAGCGAACGGTACTCCACGACCCTCTACTCTGAGCGTACCACTCGTGAAACTGCTGGGACGTAAGTGTCTCGCGTGGACGCCGCTGCAGCTGCAGCTGGCCACTGCCAGACGCTCCCAACTAACCAGCTCCAGGGCGACAGCTACGACGTTTACCGCCACAACCCCAACTAGCGTACCACTCACTAAGCTGCTGGGGCGTGAGAGACTCACGTGAACGTCGCTGGAACTGCATCTGGCCACCGCCAGTAGCAGCAGTAGCAGTAGTAGCAGCAGCAGCAGCGGCGGTAGCCTAGCAGTAGTAACAAAAGGAGCAGCAGTAGCAGCGCAGGCAGGGCAGGCGCGGCAGGCAGGCAGGCAGGCAGGCAGGCAGGCGTGGCAGGCAGGCAGGCAGGCAGGTAGGCAGACAGGCAGGCAGATGGCGCGGCAGTGCGCGAACAAGGAAGGTGCTCACCAGTGGCGGGAAGGGCAGGCGCACAACGGCGGCGACGGCGAGGCCGCAACAGCTGCGGCAGAGCAGGGTCGCGTCGGCGGTAGGGCAGGTCCGCGACAGCTGCTGCAGGGCGGGGCCGTGACAGCTGCAGGGCGGGGCCGCGACCGCGGCAGGAGGCTCCGCGACAGCTGCTGTAGGGCAGGGCCGCGACGGCGGCAGAAGGCTCCGTGGGAGCTGCTGCAGGGCGGGGCCGCGACCGCGGTAGGAGGCTCCGCGGCAGCTGCTGTAGGGCGGGGCCGCAACTGTGGCAGGGCGCTCCGCGGCAGCTGCTGCTGGAGCGACGGCGGCAGTCAGGCAGGGGCGGCGTCCAAGGGGGGGGGGAGCGCGACAAACAGGGGCAGCTGCGGCGCGCGAGGCTGCAGCGCGCGACGCGAGCTGCGGGCGCGGCGCGCGAAGCCGCAGCGGGCTGCGCGAGGACGGCAGCCGCGGCGCGCGGGGCTGCAGCGGACGCGACGCGCGGGGCTGCAGCGCGACGCGCGGGCAGCGGACGCGACGCGCGGGGCTGCAGCGTGACGCGCAGGCAGCGGACGCGACGCGCGGGGCTGCAGCGCGACGCGCGGGCAGCGGGCGCGACGCGCGGGGCGGCGACCTGGCCTGACGCGTCAGGGACCTGGCGGGGCGGCGCTCTGGCCTGACGGGCTTGCAGGGGCGGCTCGCGGGCCTGACGGGCGTGCAGGGGCAGCTCGCGGGCCTGACGGACCTGCAGGGGCGGCTCGCGGGCCTGACGGGCCTGCAGGGGCGGCGCGCGGTGTCAAAGTTATATTTAAGATTTATCCTGCTTGCTGTAGTTATTGTAGTTATTATTCTTTGCTGTTGGTGGTGCACCCCGTTTGTGTTTCTCGACTATATCTTGTATGCTTTGCTTTAGTGAAGCTAACTTGTTTGGTCAATTTCTCTCGACACTCCCTTGGCCTTGACCTCGACACTTGCTTGGCCTAGGCTACTAAGCCTAGGCCCTCCCTAAACCCGGTTCCTAAGTTAAGACCGTATCGTAACACGCGGGCTTTACGGGCCTGCAGGGGCGGCGCGCTGGCCTAGGGCAGCAGTAGGCAGCGCGAGGGCTGCAGGACGGCGCGCGCAGCGCAGCACGTCACAAGGCAAGGCAGGCAGGCAGGCAGGCGCAGGACAACACGTGGGGTAGCGCGGTAACCGCAACGGTAGGTGGGCCCGAAAAAAAACGGTCCTACGGACCTAGTGCTCTGAAACCATGTTAGAATCTAGCAGCAGGAATGATTGAACTATGAAAGAGTTGGGTACAAATATGAAACCCTAAAGTGGGCTGCACCCCATATTGGCTACCCCATTACAGCCTAAACATATATAGCAGATATATCATTTGACACGAAGGCCAGTGACAGGAGGCGCAGGCGGCCGCTGCTGCTGCGGCTGTTGCTGCTGCTTCGGATTCTGCTGCTTCTACCGTGGCGGCTGCTGCTGCTCCTGCTGCAGCGGCTGCTCCTCCTGCTGCTGCTGCTGCTGCTGCTGCTGGTGCTCCTCCTCTAACTACTGTAGCTGTAGCTCCAGCTGCTGCCGCTCCAACGCTAGTCTCTCTCGCTCCAACTCCAGCTGCTCCTTACATGCACGGCGAAGAAGGGCCTTGTGCCGAGTCAGGTAGGGGTGGGGGGGAGGAGTAGTGTCCGGGGTGGTAGTAGCCCAGGACCGCTCTCCAAAGCACCAGTCGCACCACCCCAGAGCCAGCACCACCAGCAGCAACGCGGCCAATCCCAGGCTCTCCAGGTCCAGCAGAGGGCGCACCCGCACCCCCAGGGACAGCTCTACCAACACCAGCTCCCCGAAGACTAGAACCTCCTGCAGACACGGGCTCAGCTCCAACTCCAGCACCCCCAGCACCACGACCTCGTGCAGGTACACTCTGAGCTCCAACTCCAAAACCTCGAGAGGTAGCACCTCCGGGGTCCGCGCTGCGGTCACCAGCACCCTCAGGATCTGCAGCAGCCTGTGGAGGAAGTGCTAACGGCTGCTGCGGTGACTATGAGGAGGACTGCGGAGAAGAGGACGGTGTCAGAATGTGATGTTTGTGTAGCCTGCAGTGGGGTACTCTATAGCGAGTACAACCCAATTAGGGTTTCCTATATGTATCTCAACTGCTGCTAGTGAAAACCTCCCCTTTCCTGTTTCTGATTCTTGCCTAGTGTTTCGAAATGCTATCAGAGCAGGTCGACCCTCCTGGGTCGATCCTGTGGGTGGGCCCCACCCGATGCTTCCGCTGCTCTATTGCCTGTGGCGCGCCCCGGGTGCGCGCCGTTTTCTTCCTGCCGTGCGCTCGGACTGAGCAGCGCTTTTCTTCCCGCCGCGCGCCCTGCTCTGCCCGCCGCGCACCTCTGCCTCGTCGATCCGCGCGTCGCCCCTCGTCGCCCAAAGCAGCGCCCCCGGAGACCCGCGCGTCGCCCCCCATCGACCGTAGCGGCCCGTACGGGCTGCGCCAGGCCCGCGCGCGGTTCGTCCGGCCTGCGCCAGGCCCGTGAGCGGCCCGTACCGTCTGCCCCTGTGACGCACGCCGTCCCCCGAGCTTCTGACTGCGCCCCACCTCCGCTGCTGCCCGCGCTCCTGTGTTTGGGTTTGGGGGTGGAGAGTATGGGGGTGCCGTGTGTGTGAGCCGTCCCCTGCTCCTCCTCCTCCTCCGTCTCCCACTGCTGCAGCTGCCGCTGAGGGGGGTGGATGTGTTGGAGCCGTCGGAGTGGTTCGAGGGGGGTGGCGTGTGAGCAGTGCTAGTGGTTCAGCAGGGGGTGTGTGAAACGGGTGTGGGACAGTTGGGGGAGGTTGACCGGAGGTAGCCGACTTGTCGTCCGCAGCGCCTGAAGTCCAGAGAGCCACGACCCCCTGTGGCCTGAGTAGTCCGGGGCGTTGCGCCCGGTAGCCACAGTGTGAGCACTCCTGGTAGTCCAGAGAGCCACGACCCCCTTTGGCCTGAGTAGTCCGGGGCTCTGCGCCCGGTAGCCACAGTGTGAGCACTCGTGGGAGCACAGAGAGCCAGCTGCGCCTGTCGCCGTGTAGTCCGGGTTTAGCCTGGTAGCGACAGTTCTGCGCACTCCTGTTGCCCGTGTGTCTGCAGCTTCAGCCGTCGTCTCGCATCTTCTCGCCCCCACAGGTTCTCCTCCTCCTCACTTGCTCTCTGTGATAGCCTCTAGCTTTGCTTATAATTGTGAACTACTGCTCTGCCTGCTTGTTGTGTTGATTGTCCCACTTTGACTATGGGGGTGTGTCAGAATGTGATGTTTGTGTAGCCTGCAGTGGGGTACTCTATAGCGAGTACAACCCAATTAGGGTTTCCTATACCGTATGGCCCCGGATAGTAGCGCATATGCTCTTATAATAAAATCATTTTTTTTAGGGGTGGCGCTAGTAATTGAGGAACGGCCATAAGCGCCGGCGCTTTTATAACGGCAAAAATGATTTTCGAATTCAAATGAACCAAATTGAAGCTCTCAATAAGGCGAATACAATGATGTGACGTGCGGATGGGATCGTGCATGGAATCACGGCGAAACTTGCCGCGATTCGAATTCCCACCACACAAAACCTGTCTAGGAGCAACGCACCTGCCAGCGCTGACGCGTAACCTGTCGTGCGGCCCAATGAGGTCGTCATGCGCTGCCAGGCAGGAGCATCTCGACCGAACCCTCTAGAAAGGGGGTAGAAGATGCCCTGCCAGCGCAGCATGGATGGTTCCATGAACCCTCCTCTGCGGGTTCAGGCAGAGGGGCAACCCTCGTTCATTGACGAGGACCCCGAGGCGCCATGCCGAAGGGGTCCCCTTCATTCTTTCATTTCTTGCATCTTTCATCCAGTTTTTCATTCAGTTTCTCGTTCTTTCCCGCCAGGCTGCGGAAGCCATGGCGGAATTCACCAGCACCCATTTCTTGTTTAAGAAGAAGCCTTCTGCTAGGCCCGCGTTTAGAGTTGACGCTGACGGGTGGTATTCCCGTATCCCACCAGAGCCACCACAACCTCCTGCGCCTCCTGCGCCGCCTGCTCCTCCTGCGCCTCCTGCTCCTCCTGCTCCTCCCGTTCCTCTGTCTCCTGCATATCCCGTGCATCCTGTGTTCACGGGCAATCAGCCCGTGCTCACGCTCCTTCTCCCTTCGGCGTTCGATGAGTACCTCTCTGAACCGGACTGCGACAAGCGCCAAGATGAGTATGTAGCAGCTCCGGCCCCGGCACCACGATGGGGACAGCCCGATGACTGCAACTGGGATGAATCTGCTGTCGGCGCAGACGACGAGGTGGCTGACGCCGAAGAGGAGTGGCACGCTGAGCGCAACACCGGCGGCGAGGGTGGCACGGAGGGTGGCACCGAGGCCGGCACCGC